TAAAGACGGAATTAGTACGCACATTGATGAACAAGAGCTAGTGAGGAGGAATCAGCATGGATTCTGTAAGGGAAGATTTTTGTCTCACTAACCTTTTAAAGTTATTTGAAGGGGTAAACAAACATATGGACAAGGGTAACCCAGTAGATGTTGTTTACCTAGATTTCCAGGAAGCTTTTGATAAAGTTCCTCATTAAGGGCTCCTAAGTAAACTCAAGCAGAAGCTGCGGTGGCTCAAGTGGTTAAGACGCTGAACTGCAGGCTGTGGAAGGTCAGTAGTTCAGAACTTCGAGACCCGAGTTGCCGCATGATGGAGTGAGCTCCCGTCTCTAGTTCCAGCTCCTGCCAACCTAGCAGTTCGAAAGCAAGAAACTGCAAGTAGATAAATAGGTACCACTTCAGTGGGAAGGTAACAGTGTTCCGTGCGCCTTGGTGTTTAGTCATGCCGGCCACATGACCACGGAAATGTCTTCGGACAGCGCTGGCTCTTCGGCTTTGAAACGGAGATGAGCACCGCAACCCTAGAGTCGGACTTGAATGGTTTTTGAGTAAGGGAACCTTTACCTTTTTTCTAAGTAAACTCAGCAGTCATGGGATAAGAGGACAAGTCCTCTTGTGCATAAAAACTGGTTAATTAACAGGAAACAGAGAACAAATTGGTAGTTTTCACAGTGGAGAGTGGTAAGCAGTAGGTATCGCAGAGCTCGGTACAGGATCAGATGCTTTTTAACTTGTTTATTAATGATTTGGAGTTGGGACTAAACGGTGAAGTGGCTAAGTTTGTGGATGACACTAAATTGTTCAGGGTGGTGTGAACTAGGGAGTACTATGAGGAGCTCCAGAGGGATCTGAGACCAGTTGAGTGGAAATCAATATGGCAAATGAGGGTTAATGTGGGTAAGTGCAAAGTAATGCACATTCAAGCCAAAAATCCTAATAGGTATATGTTGATGGAGTCTGAACTGGAGGAAACTGACCAGGAGAGAAATCTTGGAGTCCTGGTAAGTAACTCACTGAAGATGTCAACTCAGTGTGGGACTGCAATAAAAAAATGCAAATGCTATGCTGGGGATTATTAGGAAGGGGGCTGAAAATAAATCAGCCAGTATCATAATGCCCCTGTATAAATCTATGGTGCAGACTCATTTGAAATACAGTGTACAGTTCTGGTCACCACACCTCAAAAAAGATATTATAGCATTGGAAAAGGTACAGAAAAGGGCAACTAAAATGATTAAGGGGACGGAACACTTTCCCTATGAAGAAAGGTTAAAGAGATTAGGGCTCTATAGCTTGGAGAAACAATTGAGGGGTGACATGATAGAGAGGTAAAGTGCTTTTAATCAATGAACATGGCTTACAAGCCCAAACATTTTAATTAAAGATTGTTATGATGCCAGCTGTGAAAGCTTCAAGCTAAAGACATGATAGAGGTTTACAAAACTATGCATAGGATAGAGAAGGCAGAGAAAGAAGTACTTTTCTCCCTTTCTCACAATACAAGAACTTGTGGGCACTCAATGAAATTAATGAGCAGTAGGCTTAGAACAGATAAAAGGAAGCACTTCTTCACCCAAAGAGTAATTAACACGTGGAATTCACTACCGCAGGAAGTGGTGGTGGCTACAAGCACAGACAGCTTCAAGAGGGAGTTGGATAAACATATGGAACAGAGGATCATCAGTGGTATTAGCCACAAGGAATAGATGGAGCAGTGATGCTCTGTATTCTTGGTGCTTGGGGGGCAACAGTGTGAGCGCTTCTGGAGTTCTGGCTCTGCTGGTGGACTTCCTGATGGCATTGGGGTTTTGGCCACTGTGTGACACAGAGTGTTGGTCTGGAGGGGCCATTGGCCTGATCCAACATGGTTTCTTTAATGTTCTTATGATCTCCCCTGGGGTGGGAACAGGATGGTTTGGGAATGTTATCCTTCTGGAAGATGGGTGGAGTTGGGGTTTAGAAGGAGGGAAGGGGACTCCACTGAATAGAGGGACAGAGTGAAATGCATGAGTGTCCAGAGGGGAGGAGATAGACACAATGTGAGGTTGTGGATTTGAACTGAGCCCATCTCTGTTTATAACTCAGTCATATTACAATATTGACAAGTGGATTTGAACTGAGCCCATCTCTGGAGTTGGGCCTTTTATGGTGCGAAAATGCTATTTCTTTTAACGAACAATGTAACCCACCCTGAGTCCCTAGTAGGAAGAATGACAGGATAAAAATATAATACATAAAGGCAGACCGGACTGAAGTTATGATAGATCCAGTCCCTCTGTGGTAGCAGAAAAGAGCAAGAGTCCAATAGCACCTTAAAGACTAACAAAATTTGTGGCAGGGTATGAGCTTTTGTGAGTCATGCTGTCTTCTTCAGATACACCTAGAATGAAAAAGAGAGCAGTGACTCACAAAAGCTCATAACTTTCCACAAATCTTGCTAGTCTTTGCTACTGGACTCTTGTTCTTTTCTGAAGTTATGCTAGTTAGGTGTCATCAGAAGGTTTTCCACTGAAGTCTCTGTAAGGGTAATACGATGTTTGGGCAGAGAGTAGATTACGGAAAGGGGCCTCTTCCTGATCTTTAGCACCATGACAGTGGAGGTTCTCACAGTTCTCAAGCTTTAAACGCAGGGCTTCACTGAAAACCAGAAGGTTCTTTCGTCTGATCTCTCTCTCTCCTCTTCAAACTAGATTTGAAACTAATGGCCACTATGCCTATATAAACTTGAAGCCAGACTCCCAACAATGACTACACTTGTCTGCCTTTGTCAACTGTCAGGAAGTAGAATGTATCCTACAAACTATAGTGGTATCTCTCTTGTGGGGAGAGGTTAAGTTGGTAGAGTCTTCGGGAATTTAATGTTATGTTCTTACCAATTTGATAGTAAAAGACTTTTAATATATTAGGGACAGAAAGGACAGAAAAACTTGTCAGCAGAGGGGAAATCAGTGGCAGCCACTATTGCCTATTCCTGACTACCCTGTGGAGCTTCCGACTGCAGGTGCCTTGGCTGAGTTATGTCTTTCTAAGGCTGCCAAGATTGCCTGGGAGCTAACTATGAGATGGTAGAGGTTTGACTGGGTAAGTACAAGAGAGCAACCGTTCATTAAGTAGCTGTCTCAGTGTCCAGAAGACAAACTGCATAGCAAGCTAACCACTTTAGGTTTTTTATTTTTTAAACCTGCTCCACAGAGATACAGAATGTAATAGTATGAAAGGCAGACATTAGAAACTGGGACAAGTAAAAAAAATGTTTCAGTATTCTTGATGATTGGGTTCTTTTGGTGCTTAAATTTAATAAGGGCTTACAAGAATAATTTATTTTTAGCTCTCTCTCTTTAATCATGAAAGCATGGGAGTTCTTTATTTATATGCACTGCTCTGGTAGTCTTTGTTTAATCCTGCAAATCTTTATCAATGCTCTGAAGCAAATTCCGTTGCAGGGTGTTTGATTTCCATAATCCCTGCAGTGCAGACATTTTATATTTTATGTGAATTACTTTAGAATCCTTTGAAACACAAGAGATTTATTCTCTTACTTTGGAAGAGCAGATATGTTAAAGAACATAAAACTTGTGCCATGCTATTGACTATCTCCGTGTCCTTTTGGTTATCGCTTTTTTAAATACTCGTCTGCGATGATTATCAGTTGCAGACAGAGAAGGGCGTGGCTGCACAATGAAGAGATAATTACAAAAACCAATACTCAGGCTGCAAGTAAGCAAACGTCTTCGGGAGTAACATCTATAGAAAGCAATGGAATTGGTGCCTCTGAAATCTGCAGCACTGGTTTTAAATGACATTTATTCTTTAAGCTGACTCGCATCTTTATTACTTTACAGCTGCAACATCCAAGCTGCAACTTGCATCACAGAGCTAAGGGCTTTTGCTCAGTGCACCCCCAATGCAATGCTTCTAGGAGGAGTCGGTTCACACAATTCAACTGACAATGATCAAGCGCACAGCAAGGGATACAGAAAATCCAGATTTCCATGAATGTGTGAACCACCCTTAGAATGCCATTCTTGACCAGCAATATAGAATTTCTAAACATCTTTACAAAAATGAATAGTGTTGTATCCCAGCTGTGAAGCACACTGGGTGACCTTAGCCTCATTGCTGGCTCTCAGCCTCTCTCTCACACACACAAGGCTTCTGTGAGGATGAAAATGGGATCAATCCCTATAGGTTGCCCTGAGCTTCTTGGAGCAAGGGCAGGGCTGAGCTGTGGTTGGATAATGAATCTTGTGGCACCTACGCCTTCTTCACTGGACAAGTATAATCAACTAGTAACAGACTAATTAAGACAGTAAGAAATAATGTTATATTTTCACTGCATGAAAGCCAGGGAAATCCTGACATACAAAAAGGACAGCATAAATGCTGTAAGATCTATTCAACCCTGGCATATCCTTTCTCCAGTTGGCTATAGGGGAATCATGGAGGGAGGCTTATTATGAAATCAAATCACTTTCAACTTTGCCAGCAATGGGACAGCAATGGTGTACAACATTCTTACTTTCTACCAAACAAAATGTGTCCCACACCAGTACATTTCTCAGCCAAAACCATCAACATGAACAAACTGCCACAATAAAACTAAGATTACAGACTTCCAACATGTGCATTAGGGCAAGGAGATGCATGAGATGTCTTCTGAAAGAACGGCTATTTGTTAATACCATCAATAACTAACTGACATGCTAAAGATCATGAAAGCTTCCTGCAACCATACAATGCTACTACAGGTCAATCTCCATAACCTTTTCATCAGCAGGACCTATCAGTGGCTACTAGCCATGGTGACTAAATGGAATTTCCAATTCAGAGACTGTAAACCTCTGAATCCCAGTGCCAGGAGGCAACATCAGGGGGAAGGCCTTGGCCTCTATGCCCTGTTTTCTGTCCTCCAGGGGAACTGGCTGGCCCCTGTGGGAGACAGGATGCTGGACTAGATGGACCACTGGTCTGATCCAGCAGGGCTCTTCTTATGTTCTTACCCTTTTCCAGTGAAGTCCGAGTCGTGTGGCGAATATTATCTTTGTTTCCTTGAATCACAGCCTCATCAGACGGTGAGAGGGATTGTTCAGACCTACCAGTGTCTTGCACTGTATCCCTTCCCTTTTCCAAAACTGAGTGTTGGCATGACCTGTTAGTTCTGATGGTCCCAGATTTTGTTACCTTTAAAAGAGGGAAAATCCCATTTATTCTTCACTGAAAGTAAAACAGTAATTGCTAAATCAATTCAAAATTTAGCATGAGAAAATGTTCAAAACAGTAAAATCTATCAAATGGATATTAAACGAGAGGGAATTCTTTTTAGCGGCTTGTAGAAATAACAAACCACCTAGTATTTAGACATAAGAATTTAGTAAACATGTAATTACAGAACTGCGTTTATGGAATTGTGCTCCAAACATACCAACCTACTTCTGTACCAGACTAAACTATTTATATTTTAAAAATAAAAACCACATTTTATTATTTATTCTTTGCATCTATTGTTTTTATTGTTTGTCTGCTCTTTTAGTCATTGTTGTTATTATTATTATTAGGGATACAAATTTTAATATATCACAAAAGCAAAGTAAGCCCCTGGGAAAAATCTCTGTATATCCATACTTTATTTTTTTATTATTTATTTAGAAAATGTATATGCCACTTCTCCAGAGAGCTGCTAAAGGTGGCTCACAACTCAAACAATAAAAACAAACCAAACAAGCCATCAAAAGCATTTATTTAGGATTTACTGCCTTCCCCTGAGAGTTCTAGGAATGTTACAGATCAAGGCATGCAGTTATCTGAAACAAAGGCTCAGAGTGTAAAGTACACAGCCTCCCCTTATCTTCTCTCTTCTCTTACAATATATGTAACCCCTTTGTCCCTAAACCTGATACTTTTTCAATGCATCTTATAAAAATGCCCCTATGCATATGTTAAAATGTCCATGCTCCTCACCAAATAACTCTCGGAGTTGTACCTCACTTCCCTCTACCTATTTTGGCAATTTCATTACTCAACCAGTTCTATTATTCATCTCATTCCACTGGGTGAACCAGTGGGGTATGCTGGTTAGAGAGTAAGACTAGGGCTAGGGAGATCCAAGTACAAATCCACACAGTGTCACAAAAGAAAACTTGGCCAAGTCATTATCTCAGCCTAGCCTACCTCACAGGGTTTATGTTAAGATAAAACGGAGGAGGGACAAACCATGGATCCTGCCCTGTGCTCTAGCCTATCCAGAACATGCACATATACTCAATACTAGCATTTGATACATCTTAGCTTCTTTTTCTCATTAATATAAAGGCTCAAACTTTATGGCAATTAAGTCTGTATTCTTACTTCCCCAGATGCCCTTGTGGTGAACCTTCGGCCTGAAGGTGGAGGTGGCCCAAGGACCTTAGATCCAAATGCAATGTGGGAGACATCCTGATTTTTAGTGTTTCGTGCAGTGGTTGATCCCCGGATCATTATATGATCTACTGAAAAGGGAGATAAACTATTACAAGCTTAGTATTTGAAATATCATACACTGGACTTCATTACAATCAGACTGAATTACCAGACTGCCACCATTTCCCTTCAGTCCAACAGCTTTTGGTAGTAAGACCCACACTTCAAGTAATATGACATTGCTACCTACTCAGATAACTAATTTACTCCTTTTCTTCCCAATCATTCCCCATCACCGTATAGTGAGAAGGGAGTGAGAACTTGGCAGTGAGCATATATTTCAGCTACATGTTTATAGTAGGTCAATTTTCAATAAAATAACAATTAGCATCATCAAAAATAATTATTTATTATTTATAAATAATTAGTAGTAACAGAAAAACACAAATTATAAAACTGGCAAGCAGCAAAATCACCTGGAGAAAGGTGATTTGGTTACTGAGGTTATTGCTTGGTTGCCTTAGAGTCCAAATATCGATATATGTATTTCTTAACATGTCCACATTTGTGGATACTTAAAACCAGAGACTGAAACCATGAATCAACAAGTCTTTCTCCAAAATCTGAAAAATGTCCCAGGATTGCAGAAAAACCTGAAATCTTAAAACAGCAACAGCTGGGGCATTAAACCCTGCCCCAAATAACAGAAGCAGCACCTGTTCCTTTAAGAAGCCAATACCTTCTGCAGTAGCTATTGTGGGGGTTCCTAGATAACTACAACAGTATTGCCAGCCTTCAAGCCTTGATTTTTGTCAGCAAAAAGTAGGAGGGGGACACAGGTGATCCAAGGCTGTTTTGGCCTTTGAGGGTGAACTCAAAGGGGCCGAACCTGGCTGCAACCATATTACTTCCATGATTTGCCCAGGCCTGGCCACTTGCTACTGTTCAACAGCAGCCAAACCATGAAAGCCAGTGTTAAAGAGTTTCAGTTAGAGTAGTGGTTAGAGTTTTGGACTATGATCTGAGAAGTTCATTGGATGATGTTGGACCAGTCACACGTTCTCAGCCCAAGTTACCTCACAGGATTGTTATAAGGATAAAATAAACGAGAGGAGAATGATATAAGTTGCTTGGTACCCATTGTGGAGAAAGGTAGAGCACAAATCAAGCAAATAAATAATAAATATAGCTCAAGATGGGGGTTGATAAAAGATAGGTTAGCTGGTGGGTGGGAAGGAGAGAAGGAAGCAGGGAAAGGTTGCCAATAGGAGGGAAAGCGGAAATAGAGAGGGGAGGAGGATAAAGGGGAAAGTGAGGTGCAAGTTTCCCACTGCACAATTGGGCCCAGCAGCTGGCACTGCACAACTGGGCTATAGTTTTCCCAGGTAGAAGCTGTCAGGGGAGGGAAGGAAACTGTTGACACAGGGCTCAATAAAAGTAGACTGGCTACTGGGTGGGAAGGAAAAGAACAATGGGGGAGAAAAAATGAAATGCCCCCAGCAAGTCCTTGGATCCCCTGCGTGTCATTCCTTATCCATAAGATTTTACAAACATTGTGTAGGTGGTGTTTGTCACATTGGTAATTATGAGCATTGCAATCTCTATACCCTTTCCCTTGCGCCTGCATTTTGTACCACCACTTTGTTTTGTTTCTTCATCAATGTCATTCTTCTGCTTTAAAGGTCATGTTAACTTTATTTTGTAAGTGCAATTAGTTAACCTTTTTATACCCCATAAATGATTTGAATGTCACCAATTCCAACTATAAACTATTTATGTTGTAACAGAAGCTCCAAAACTGAACAGTTCACATTTATCAGACATAAATTCAAGGTTATACTCTAACCCTCCAGACCTGCTGAATCCCCAAGCAGAACGCTGGTCAAGGAATCAGAGGGCTTTACTCAATATCAGGTCCTCTAAATTTCAAAATTATCCTTCTCAAGGGGTTAGCACAATTGGGTTAGCTGCAGAATATTTTGAACGCTGTAAGAATGGAAAACCTTTTACATTCTGAGGTGGGTTAAATATAGTACTTCTAAAAACATCTAGATTTGGTGCATTCCATTCTCTCTCTTATAAAGAACAAACAATACGTTTTGAATTGAACATGTCTGGCGGTTACCAATTACTGTGTCACAGCTGCAAAATCAATCATAATTATATATTTAATTGCAAAAAGAAAAATTATCAAATAAATAATCGAAGAACTTCTTAGATATGCTTTTGTTGACTTACTGATCAATTCTCAACTGATCAGTTAGTTATGTAAATATACTAAAAATAGAAATATTGAACTTTGGCTTTAAAACAGTCTCTATCTTTTTTCATTTAGAAGCAAGCCGGCAATAAGTTTTTCTCTGGAACTGTTAAAACATGGACTGAACCCTCAGCACCTCCCTCTTATATTTCAGGAATAAAGCAGCTGCCGTAGAAACAGCCAATGAGATGTGTGTTACTGGTAAATGGAAGTCATGATAAATAATCTAAGAGCCAGTATAATGTATGGGTTAAAGTTAAGGATGCTTGAACACCTGCCAGTTCTCATTTGCCAGTGATGACCAGACAGTCAATTAACCGACTGGGTGCTCATAGCCTGTTGGTGTATTTACAGGAATGGGCTACTTACAGTAATCAGCAAACAATTCTCAGCTGATGAGGGATCAGTATGGAGTTCACTTCTAATCTCCTGCTGAGGATATTTTGTTCTGCACTTTGCAATTTTTTTCTGAAGGGTAGAATCCAAAGCCAACTGCCTGCTAATCAGCTGGAAGTCAGAGACAGATTCCACAAAAGCAGTTGTTTTGACCTCAGTCTCCCGTTTTCCCCGGTTGTACTGCTCAATTTCCCACTTATTTGCTGTGCGGCCGCATTTTGACCTGCATCTCCCCCCGATTTTTCCCGTGTCTTCTTGACCCTTATTTTTCAGGCATTACTGAAACTTGGTGGGATGACACTCACAATTGGAATATTAGGATTGAGGGGTATAACTTATTTAAAAGGGACAGAAAAATAAAGGAAGGGCAGAGAAATTGCATTGTAAAGGAGGTATATACTTGTGAGGAAGTATGTGAATTTGAGCATGAAAATCCGGTTAAGACTTCAAGTACAAGTTAAGAGTCTCTGGGCAAAAATAAAAGAAGTAAGAAATAATACAGATACCATGGTGGGGGGTCTGCTATAGACCACCAAGCCAGACAGAGGATTTGGATGTGACACTCCTACAACAGATTACAAAGTTCTCAAAGAGACAGGACATGGTGGTCATGGGAGATTTCAATTACCCAGATGTCTGTTGGATCAGAGGAATGCTGTAGACATAGTTTATCTTGATTTTAGTAAGGCTTTTGATAAGGTTCCACATAATATACTTGTTGGAATTGGAATTGGAAAAATGTGGTTTGGATTCTATGACTATTAGGTGGATCTGTAACTGGTTGACAGATTGCACCCAAAGAGTGCTTGTGAATGGTTCCTCATCTTCTTGGAGAGGAGTGACAAGTGGAGTGCCTCAAGGATCTGTCGTGGGACCTGTTTTGTTCAACATCTTTATCAATGATTTGGATGAAGGGATAGAGGGAATGCTTATTAAATTTGCAGATGATACTAAATTGGGAGGGGTAGCAAATATGGTAGAAGACAGAGTCAGGATACAGGATGATCTTGACAGGCTGGGAAACTGGGCTAAAACAAACAAAATGAATTTCAATAGGGATAAATGTAAAGTTCTGCACTTAGGTAGGAAAAATCAAATGCATAATTATAGGTCGGGGGAGACTTGTCTTGGCAGTAGTATGTGTGAAAAGGATCTAGGGGTCTTAGTAGACCATACACTGAACATGAGTCAGCAGTGTGATGTGGTTGCTAAAAAGGCAAATGTGATGTTTGGCTGTATTAACAGAAGTATTGTGTCCAGATCACAAGATGTGATGGTACCACTTTACTCTGCTCTGGTTAGACCTCACCTAGAGTATTGTGTTCAGTTTTGGGTACCACAATATAAGAAGACAAGCTGGAATGTGTCTAGAGGAGTGCAATGAAGATGGTGAGGGGTCTGGAGACCAAGTCCTATGAGGAAAGGTTGAAGGAGCTGGGTATGTTTAGCCTGGAGAGGAGACAACTGAGATGTGATATGATAACCATCTTCAAGTACGTACTTGAAGGGCTGTCATCTAGAGGATGGTGTGGAGTTGTTTTCTGTTGCCCCAGAAGGTCGGACCAGAACTAATGGGTTGAAATTAAATCAGAAGACTTTTCGCCTAAACATTAGGAAGAACTTCCTGACAGTTAGAGCAGTTCCTCAGTGGCACAGGCTTCTTCAGGAAGTGGTGGGCTCTCCTTCTTTGGAGGTTTTCAAACAGGGGCTAGATGGCCATCTAACAGCAATGCAGATTTTGTGAACTTAGGCAGATCATGAGAGGGAGGGCAGGAAGGGTTGCCCCAGTGCTTAGTTCTTGTGGCCCTTTTTTACACGCCCAAGGAAATGCTGATTGCCACTTTGGGGTCAGGAAGTAATCCTCGAGAAGTTTGTGTCAACTTCTGGGCATGGAACAGCGATCACTATGGGTGTGGATGGGGAGGTACTTGTGAATTTCCTGCATTGTGTGTGTGTGGGGGGGGTTGGACTAGATGTCCCTGGAGGTCCCTTCCAACTCTGATTCTATGCTGAGAAAAAGAGAAATAGTTTCTTTCACCTCTTCTTTTTGCAATGCACAGGTCAAAAACATTACTTCTGTTCTCACCCACTTGGAAGAGAGGAAACAGAAAGCAGCTCTCTATTCTTCCCCTTTTGCACCTTCACTGTGTAGCTGTTTTGATGAGGGGCAGAATTAATAAAAACCCAACTCCTGCTGATTGAACCATCAGCTGTAAGTCATCTTCTGGCCAACAGGCACCTGCAAACTTGTTTGGAAGCTGCTGCTCAATTGCTCAATGCAATTTAAAAAAAATCTCTAATCAGCTTACATTCTGACTGTGCCCAACGGGTTCTCTGAGAAATCAGCAGCATCTCTAGTTAGAGTATCGGAGCAGGACCTGGGAGACCTGGGGACAAATGCCTACCCTGTCATGGAAATTTCCTGGGTAACAC